ACATGTCTGGTACGATTACGATTTTGTCCGCTGAGGGCTCGAACCCGCGCCACACAACGTTAGGTCTAGAAGCATTGACCACTCGACCCACACCACCTGGTCAACGTAAATTGCCTCATTTGTCGTGCATTAAGACGAAATTCGCAAGCAATTAAAGCGTAAAAAAAGGACATGTTTTCTTCGTTGCTAAAATAGCTACTGTTGTAACGTTATCGTACCGAGATAATTTGTGACAGGGCTCTCTTTTATGATGCGCTTGCTGTGTTCTAAGAATCAAGCAGCCTTTTTTTCGCTAGAAAATCGAAGTGCGTGCCTCACTTGTAACAACCATTAGCTGATTTTGTTTTCCTTTGTTCGAATCTTATGAAATTGATTTTGCTGGCATGTGAATCCCAGCTGCAAGGTTCAGCGTATCCTATTCTTTTTAGTTCCGTATGGATCCAGACGGAAGTTGCAACCAAGATCTCGAACAGGTTTGCCATCCCAGTACCAGTTAAACAACATACTGTTTTAAGAGTTGTGCAAGGCAGTTCGGATAAAAAAATGTTCAAAGGAAAAGTTCGTAGAAATTGATAAGTCTCAACCAGCGAACGCTTACACCCCGCAACTCACTTGTTGTCTTATCCACTGCGTAGACATAACAACTGCGGTCAAAATGGATCGCAGCAGTTACGAAATAATACCAATTGTAGTCTAATGTACAGAGCCTGCACATTAAAAACTGCTGTGCAGTGATCATCACGCATTTACAATTAAGTCAAAACAATGCAGAATCACCATGCTCAACACGTAGCTACACCATTATGTTTCCCCGTACGCAATATATTTGCCAACGAAGATTGATCACCCTGGAAACTTATTTAGCCAAGAAAAATGCTGACATCAAAAGCTACGCAAATTGTCAAATGCTGACTGGAAGAAACATTTTTCCTTGTCAGGCGGCAAAGCTCTAATCTATATTCATATTTACTACGTAGCACGTTACAGTGGAAATAGACCATTGTGTACCGACAGAACGATTGTCATACCAAAGTCTGTAGCTATAATCAGCGTAGCAAACTTTCGGTCAAGCTTGTTCCCTTTTGGGGCTAGTAAAAGAGTTTTATCTGTATCCGGATATATATAATAATGTTTCTGCTTATCATGCACTGTTGCTCTGCTTAGAAGAAGTAAGGTAAGGCGCACTGGTTAAAGAAGTATCATGTTTCTTACTCGGTACGGGTAAAAGTGATAAAACTTTGTCAAGGAGACGTACGTGATACACACAGGCTGCTAGTCTCATTCTATCCATTTTATTAGGGATTTTCAATAGGTGTGCCGTGTATTTTACACAGAAGGAACTTTGCCTCATAGTCTACGTTGACAAATGCGCAGAAGTTGGATTCGTAGGCTCTCCACCCACGAGCAATCCTTTATTATGACTAGAAATTCAGCAGGGCTGCCGTCGTTCTTTCGCTTAGAGGAAGCTTGGTTAAGGTTGGTGACCTTCATACTACACTGAGAACGAATACGAGTGTTGCGGATCGCAATCCACTTACTCCAAGAGTAATTGCAACCTTAACCCAAGACTAATTAACTCTTCCGTTTGAGACGTTCGCTCTGTCTCTCGTTTTTTTTGCGGCGAAACCGCCTATACTTAAATCTATAGGTAGTCCTATCGATATTGAAAAACTGAATTAAATGTATAACTACTGGCAGTCTAGTCACGTACTGACCTTTTTTTAGTACAGCCTGGCATTGTGTGGTCACACCCTCTTGTGTGATCCACACCCTTCATACCAGAGCACGCGAACCCCCCTTACACTCCCCACATCAATATTGTGAACAACTACAGTCCATATTAACTGTCGCCTCGATTGGGGCTCGCGTGTCTAAGACACCACAACATCACCAGGATCTCCTTCACGAAATCACTGCTCAATGCGTGCGCCCTGAGTCGAGGACGCGGAAGACACCCAGCCTCGTTGGTTCCGAAAACGCCCGCGGTAGAGCCCTTCTTCGTCTCCAGCACGCGGTGCAATTTCGGACAGCACGTCCGCGGGCTCAAAAGAAGCGCAGCCCGAGCTCTCGGTGACCGAGTACCGCGCAGCCCAGCGGCACGAGGTGAGCCCTGTTCTAGCTTTACGGACGCCATGACTGATTCCCGAACTCTCGACTTCAGGGGGAAGTGGTGTCATTACCAATCACCTCGACGAGTCACAGAAGCAGCAGCTGTATGCTGTCGATCCCATGTGCGCGCATCCAACGGTCGGTCCTTGACTCGCTTGTGGAAAACGGCTTCCGCTCGGCGGATCCTGTTGCAGAAGCGAAGGACGCGACCACTTAATCATTGGGCGCCTACATTATCGGGGTTCCGGCCACTACACAAGCTGTGCTTGACGGTCGAAAAGCTCTCCGAGCTCGCTTCTTGGTTCTTCAAAAAATCCTGAAGGATACGTACCGCACTCAGATTTATGCTCAAAGAGGAGGCACTCCTGTACCCGCGATGCGGACGATTTCTGTGGTGCTCGCTCTGGCAAAACCGCTGTAGATGAAGAAGAAGACTTTGTCCGCTGGGTGCAGCAGCAACGGAAACTTTTCTGGCTGTGCAGTTTACAGTTGAGCCACAAGGAGGTGGACGCGCGCGTGAAACGCCATCTTCGGTTTGAGTTTGGCAAACCAAGGTGCGTCACCGACTTTCTTAAGATTGTCGTCCTGTGATGTATGGGCTGATCGACCACGGTCCCGCGAGCTCTGTTGCCTCTCGCACGGGTAAGGCTGTGACCGCAGCAGCTCAAAGCCATAGCTTGAGCTCAGCTCATGGCCCTTCGGCTTTCCTAGCTATCGTCGAGAAGCGCAGGGCGTAAGAATATGGGGAACGTCATGATCCTTCTGATCATAAGTATCAATGACATCTGGGCAGTCTTCCCAAAGCGGCACTTCAAATTCCTGCGAATTCTTGATATCGGGGTGTTCTTGTCACTTTACAAGATACTGCGTTTGACCCTGGCGACGACGCCGACACAACAGAAGTTCCACGCGAAAGTATACACCACCATTCTCGTCGAGAGGAGTCGGCGAGGGACGATGACGACTGGGTCGATTGCCGTCTAATGAAAAGAAATGCTCTTCGAACACTTGAGGACGTAGCTCGTCGCAATCGGGACTTCGCTGAGCATCACGCTGGGGTCGTATACCACTGCGCACAAGACCTATAGAGCTTGGAGCCCGTTGTGCACCGGCTGCCTCACGTTGAGGTCTATCGCGCTCTGCCAAAGCGGCTCCTATCCGTTAAGCAGATTAATGCGTCGCTTCATGGGAAGGTGGAGCGCTTGGCGCCGTTGGAGATGGAGATTGTTGCCTATCGTGCACAAAACCAGTTGCTTGTCCAGCTTCTGGGTGGTCGAGAGCCTGTTGGCGCCGCTTCGGCGCCAACAGACTTTACGAAGGAAACATATGGCTCTAGCGCTTCGGCATCACAGCGCAGACGACGCGAGTCACGCGCTCAGTCTGACCATCGGTCTGCGGATGGTCCGCTGCTAACATAGTCAGCTTGGTGCCCAGTACCCTTAAGGTTGTAGACCAAAACTTCCCAGTGAAGCGCGGGTCTCTGTCAGAGACAATTGAATCCGGTATTCCATCCTGTCAAAAGACACGATTGGCAAACAGCGTCGCAGTACTCACACCATTGATGGGGTCCGGCACTGCCGCAAGATGAACCATCTTGCTCAAATGGTCCAAAAAGACCACCACATCCGTGTTGCCTAGCGGGTCCTTTAGTAGACCAGACACAAAGTTCATACTCATGGACTGCCAGTACCCGGAATGTACCGGTAAGCTAACCAGCGGTGCTGCCGCATTCAGAGAGGGTTTCACCCTCTGAAAAGTCTCCCGCGCGCGCACATACGTGCTCGTTCACTTGTACAGCTAGGGCCACCAATAGTGGCAGCTCACTGATCAGTACATCTTCTCACGACCGAGATGACCACTAAGTGGGGTGTCTTGGGCCTCATAGAGAATATGGTATCTCAAATCCTCATCGTGAGGA